GAACCTCTCGCCCACGTGTGGCCTCGTATGCTAGGAGATATCACCGAGCACGTCTACCAGACGGGCATGCGAGCAAGACCGAAACTGCCGCGAAAATCTCGATCTGGCCGAGGGACGAAAGGATCGGCGGTAAGAAACATCACGAACACCCAAAGTGGTCAGTATGAACGTATCTGCAACGTGTTGCACAAATTGAATGGAATCAATCTTTGAATCACTCCATGCATACCCCCGCCCTTCCGTAATAAGCTCAACATCTTCGCACCCCTTCCCCACTACCTGACGCCTTTCCTCGCTGCTCGGAACGAAGACTGCGGGAGAGCAAGTGTCCCCCTTGGCGGCAGGTCCCCCTGCTATGGCCGATAGCCCAGGGACTCAACAGACCACCTCCCTGCTACAGCCTATGCACCAGTGGCAGGCCCACAAGACAACGGTTACTTCCGTGCAAGGCGCCGACTATCGCGGGAAGCTGGATCTCCTTGTCACAGCGGGAGATGATTGCTACGTCCATGTGTGGACGATCGCAGGCGCGCACATCGGGACCTTTGGCCAGGTGATGGTTCGTCGTAGTTACAGCTATAGTTTTCTTTGTGGGATATCTTGTGAAGAACATCATACATGCTGATTCTCGAGGCAAAGGCGCACCGCAGCATTGACCATTTTCTCAACCAAACGAGAGCACACGCTCACGAACGCCCACCCCTCCCCACATGTATATATATCCACACGGCCCGTTGCTTCCTTCGCACGTAAATGATGCAAACATGAATAAGAACAGCCAACGGCGTGGTCTCTGGGGAGCCGCGCCACGTGGCGGGAACCCACAGACCAGGCCCTCTGCAGCGCGTACGGGCACGGCGGGGCGGGCAAAGAAGACGACGAGCTTTCGGCCACCACCACAACAGCTTCCACCGCCACCGCTGCCGCCGGAGAAAAGGAATCCAAAGCAAAGACGCAAGGAGGGAGCAAGCATTTGCGTCGAACGGTGAGATAGATAGGCAAGCAGGCTGGAAGACTGGAGGCTATTCAGGCTGGCAGAAAATCTCCCGATTCTCGTTTTTTTCTACAGTAGTTCCTACCTTCTCGCCCCACACGCGCTTGCCTCGCCCCAAACTACTGCGGGCGAGTGAAAACCTCCATCACCCACCACCACCTTGGTGTAGATCCATTGCTAGCAGGGTGCGTGTCCGTTGGACAGTAGAGTTTGATTGGCACTGGAATACCCTAGGTTGACGCGAACAATCGGAACAGGGCTTTTTGGGGGTGATTGTCCGTGGCTGTGGTGCTGTGGTGAGACTCGTACTTGACAGGGTGGTTTGTAAGGTGTTTCACAACCATGCCACACTTTCCGACGTTTCCATCGGCTCTCAAGGCCGGTTACTCTCACCATAGTCGGCTACCTTGCACTCTCCTGCTAGGCAAGCAAGCACGGAAAGGCGGTGACATCAACAACGACCGACGGTGGCGACGAAAAGGAGCCACAAAAGGGCAGGCGAGCTATCTGTGCTAGATAGCCCTCTTGTAAACCAACCGTGGACGATTTTCCCCGCTGTTTTCTCCAAGTACACCGTGCTTCTTCACGAATAAGTATTTTCCTTTCTCGGGGGTTTGTCTCTCCGTACATCTGCACGCACACGCTGACGGCTTGTTTACGGGGCATCTCTTGCTCGCTCCGATCATGGTTGGATACTTGTTCGAGGGAACAACAGGAAGGGTACAAGAACTACACGTAAATGCGCGATAGACACGAGCGTTTCCACAACCGAACATTCGATGTTACTGCTTTCGTCCTCTCCATCAGGAAACACCACGATCAACGGGCGCGTGCTGCCCAAGACCGTGACCTCGAGAAGGAGCGCGAAGAAGAGGCCGAACGCTGCCAGGAAAAGCGGTAGGCAGATACCAAGTGCCGACAGACCTAAGTACCGCGATGACCCTCGGCCCTGTTTGTTCTGTTGCGCTCAGTGCCATAGTGTGAGCTCTGTCGCACAAGAAGTACATCACAGAATATATGTTGATCTCTAACTTTCACCAATACCTGAATGTCGGTCAATGACCGACCGGGGGGGCAACGGCAGGTACTACATTGCCAGCCAGAACAGGGTCCAACGAAAGCTATTTCGAGGGAGACTGAGCGCGTTCTGTGTGTCCCGTGACTACTACAAGAAGGAGACGATACAGGTAAGCAAGCAGGCTAGGAGAGAACGTTGTGTCCTTGTTGCTGACAAGGGGGGGGAGGGGGACGAGTAGGTGCGCGCTCCGCTTAGCGTGCAACACGGTGCGCTTCACGCTCTTTGTATCTCCCGGCTTCTCCACCTAGAAACAGAGGTCCACGTGCGCGCGCAGGTCGATGTCATGGATAGGATTGTATGGGTTTTGGTGTGATTATACCTCTTCCGTGTCACTACCCTGGGATACCACAGGTGTTAAATACTCCACCTCACCCCCCACCCCTACCTCCGTCCAAATCCTCGACATCCAACCCGTCACTTCGACTCCGTGGTGTGAACTCGTCATTGGCCTGCCCGCCTATAACCACCGCGAGCCTGCTGCGCGATCATACATGTACCTTTCCTTAGATTGAGCTTCCGGCCGCCAACTCCGATTGAAATGTGTGCACACCCCAAGCAGGAGGCAACGCAGATCCTGAGCGAGACATGCAAGAAAAGCGCCCTGCACCCTCAGCCATCTTCTTCCCGCCCCGTCCTCAGCAAGCATCGCATTACGTCGATCCTCCGAAACACGTACAACCAGGCAAGTGGTAACCCATGTAGCATTTAAGGTCAGCGACGAGAGTGGAGGACAACGACGACAAGAGAGATATTTTGAAACGCAAAATAGCGTTGGACATAAAACGTTGTCTACGCCGAGATTGGCCACACAGCGGAGGCAAGAACTGTGCTAAGTGTAGCTGTTTGGTGTTGCGTTGTGTGGCCAAACTTCTGTACAGTTTGGTTTTGATCATCCGTCATGTACGTCCAACGCAGAAAATGGCCTGTCGTACGTCGATGTGCGGTAGCTGAGTGTCGAGTCATATACTAAAGAAAGCCAACGGGCTTGATGGAATCAGCTTGTGTGACCTTCTTAGCAAAGAGACACCCTCGGTTGAATGCACAAAGCGAAGAGGAGACCCGACACCCTTTCTAGGCGTATCAACAGCGTGCGTTGTTCACAGAAGTACTTCGTCCACGTAGATATTTCTTCATGCGCCGCTTCATTCCTACAGTGTAGATCAACGCAGCTGGCGGTGTCCTGTCCGGCACGTGCGCAATCTCGTACACTTCTGTCATCACACCTGCAGGTGTCTTTCCAACTCCAGCTCCACAAGCACGAAGACGTGCATGAGAGGGCAGAGGTGGCCCTTACGCGACGAAAATCGCGTCGTAGGGCCAAGGCTGCAGCTAGCAGCACGAGCCACCAACACCACCCTCACCACCCCCGAAACCCCGGCGGAACAGCTGAAACAAACCGACCCTCCTCCATGACGCTGACGGCAGCCACGGCGCCTAGCACTCCACACACCCCTGCGGACACGGCTACCCCGCGGACCGTTTCCCGAGCAACAGGGGTTGAAGGGGGTCGCAGTGGTAGCGCTACTCCGGCAGAAGATGGAACGGTACCGCGTACGGATGGCCACGGCGGTGGTGGTAGCGGCGGACACGGCAGCAGGGCCATGCCGGGAACAAAAGCTGCGCGTGGTACAGATACCATATCGAAAGACCGCGAGGGAAACGTGCGCCCAGCTGCCCCGGTGGACCCCCCGTCTAGCTCCGCCACGAGCGGGAGACGGTTTCGACGACCCAGTGCCGCCATGGGCTGAACCGGTTTGGGGGGGCAAAATATATACATGTAGCGGCTCCCTGGAACTACGACTGCCTTGCCTTTGTGAGGGTGAACAGTTCATCGTTGGTAAGGATGGTATGGTTTATATACTATCACCAGTTTCATCACGGGCTGAGAGCTCCGAACCCACAACCTGGAGCCAGGAGGGGATTGCTGGCTTGGTTGCGTTGCGAGCTTGCACGTTGTTCTTGGAAAGCAGCGGTCACAAGTCGTTGCTGTCATATGTTCTTGATGCCTACGGACGACGGTGAAGATATGTTGGAGTCTGGTCTCCGACCTCTCCTACGGTGCGCAAGCCGCCTAGAGTAGACGACCCGCAGAAGGTAACGTCAAAGGAAAAGTAGAAGTACAACGACTTGGGTGTGGGAGACCCTCCTTGTGAGCTTGGCATCGCCGGATCACATCAAAAGCAGCCAGTTGTACATACAATGTAGTGAAGCAGAATACGCCCAAGCAACTACTGCTGTAGTACTGAGGGATTGACGCCTGACTTCCTGTCGCTCCCCCACTGGATATACTCCACCCATCGACCATTGCTACCATTCCTGGCTTCGCTTGGCGGCAGGGGCCGTTCTCCGTTGTGTGTGTGCCAATCGCAACAATGGCAGAAGGCGGACAACAGCAGTAGACCAGTCCCCCATGGGCTGCAGCAAACAGCGCGACATATTCAGCGCATCCCACTTGTCTCGTTCGTTTCTTTCCTTTCGCTACTTCATTGCGTATGCGTATGCATTTATCTCCGCGTTGATATGCATATATATGCGACATGAGAGACTGCTGTGTCATCACGACTTTGTTTTGGGTGTTTTGGATTTGGATTTCGGAATACGGAATTGCAGAGAGAGGTTCTCATGTTCTCATGTTCTACGAATCAACCAATCTCGATCTACGAAGAAAGCGGAGAGGTCCGGGGGGGGGGTACGGGTCCGCAGAAAATATGGGAAAAAAAGAAGAAAAAAAAAAGGGGGGGGGGTCCAGGCTCTCTCTGTGCACACCTGAATCGCGAATCCAGCTTGCCCACTGCTGCTGCTGCTTTGTGCCAAAGCCGGCTTTCTGAAACCGGGTCCGCACTCGACCCCGCTCTCTTTGTCCCCCATACTGCTTCTAGAATTTGGGCCAGGGTTCAACTAGCTGTCTAGGGAGATTGGGGCATCATCATGGTGCGGGGCGGATACGCTGAAAGCTCGGCCGGCTACGGAGGCGACCTGCAGGCAGAGGCCCAAGCCTGGGTGGAGCAAGTGACGGGGGAGCCTCTCGAGGGAGACTTTGCGGACGGCCTGCGCGATGGCGTCCGTCTCTGCAAGCTCCTGAACACCATCAAGCCTTCGAGCGTGCGCAGGGTCAACCCGTTCAAAGAAGGCCAAAAGTTCAAGCAGGTGCGCTGGTTTTGTGTGTGAAGCGTTTTTTTGGAAGACCCTGGACCAGCCTGTGGTCTGTTTCTTGTTCTTCGCAAACGGCAAAACCAGCGGGGCTCAAGGGGAGGACATGAAGTTGCTCTGCCGCCACACCCAAGGGTTTTGAAGATATGTTGTGAGGTGGGAGACTCGCGTGGGACGGTTCATCCCACTTGTCGATAGCCGATGCACCCCCGCCCTTTGGGTGTGAAGTACCCAATGGCAGCTCTTCTTGCTCTTTGAACGCTCTCTCGCACCGCTCTTTTTGTTGTTGTCGTGTCTGCTGCGCACAGATGGAGAACATCAGCAACTTCATCCGTGGGTGTAGAGCGATTGGAGTGCCGGAGTACTCTCTTTTCGAAACGGTGGACCTTTACGAAGGGAAGGATGTGGGCCTCGTGGTGAAATGTTTGGTAAGCGATACATACAGCAGTAGCACACGGAGAGCACAAAAATGCACGTGGCATGTTTCTGCTGCACTTGTCGGACACCACTGCTGTTTGTTCCCACAGCTTTTGCCACCCACCAAGGCAGTTTCGTTTCCCTCGCTCGCTTCACCTATATTGCGTACCCCTCCCCAAGGGTCTCGGACTAGATTAGTCTACAGCAGTCTAGACAAGACTACAGCAGTCTAGACAAGACTGCTGTAGACTACTGCTGTATAACCGTTCGAGGTTTGTGAAAGAAAGATGCTTGAAAGTGAATGTGTTCCACATTTTCTCGGGGGACCCCGAACGGACGGAACAGCCAGTTCATTTACCCTTGTCGCTGCTTCAACAGGCGTTGCACAACAATGATAACCGACGCGCTTCTCTCGACCTCCTGTACACTCCTTCCTAGGCTCATTGCAGCCCGGTTCGACAAGCTTGTCAGAACCTGTTCGGTCACACAGGGGACTATCCTCGTATCCTCGTTAAGATTCCGTTCGAGGATCGGCAGAAGTTCCTTCCTCACAGCAGTTGAACGGTGCATGCCATCCATTTAGAATATTTTTGGCTCTTTCCCACCGATACTTTAGGGTGTTTGCGGACTGATCTCAGGTCTTGGTCTTGGAAGTCGGAAGCAAGTCCAAAACCAAGACCGGAATCGTGTTTCAAAACTGCTTGCGAAGACTGGAGTGTGACTTTTATCGGTCTTGAGTACGCGGAAATTTCCAAGAACGTTGCGTTCAATACGACGGAGCCCCTTTGCCGGCGGCGGCAGACAGATGGTTGAGCCGACTCGGAACACAACAACATATTTATTTTCGAGCTTTCGCCTCCACCCCAACAAGGCTACTACTACTCTACTGCACCCACACCCCCAGCTAACTAAGGAAGTCATGGCGAGAATACTGGTGGAGCAACGTACTCATGAACAGGCGGCCAAGTTCAGTTGCCGGGATTGCATGGGAAGCGTAGCGCCGCAGACAGCGGAGGCGGCATGCATGTGTGTGCCCCTTCAGCACGCGCACAAGTTGTGATACACATCGCAGTCAGTCGTCGACGGAGTCGATCTCCCCGTCAAACGAAGCACTGCAGCACTGTCCACAGGACGCACGCGCTGCAGCTCCTCACGCTCCCACGCCGCTTGAAGCATCCCTTACCCCATCACCTCCGCCTCCACCACCTGTGCCGCACTCCTGAGATCTATGCCGCCCGCCTCACCGCCTCACCCTCCTCACGCCGCGGCTTGATGTATCGCTCACGAGCATGCATGTAGAAGAGCGGTGCTTCGGTTCACACATATACATCTAAGATGACGCAAAAGTTGCACCATGTCGGCATCATGCAATGCGCACCGGGTCTGCGGTGCAGTGACGTCTGTCTGACTGCCTGTCTGGCGGTACTGCTGTAGTTGGCTCGCCATGGTGTCGCCTATGACGACCGAGTTGTGTGTTGTGTGTGTTGGGCAGCTCCACGGGATGGCGCGGCGTGTGTCGGGAGGACGGCGGGAGTATCTCGGGGTGTGTAGGCCAATGAAAAAATGTTATTTCAAAGACAAAACTGAGCAAGACAAAATCGGAGCTTTTCTCGGGTCTTTGGGGGCAATTCGCGAAAGCAAAATACCATATTCCTAAAGATCCATCGGACTTCGGCGCTCGGGGGGATAAAAAAGACCAAGGCAAGGCCAGAATCAGATGTTCGCAAACACCGTACTGTAGAGGATTGGATTCTTCTTGTTTTTTGAGAACCTACACCGCAGAGTCAGCATTTAGGTACTTGTGTACGCTGTACGTATGTTTGGTGCGCGCGGGTGGTGGCCGAGACATGGCTGCTATATTTGCTTGCTCTCCGGGAACTATGTGTGTTCATTTACATAGACTGGAGCTTGACTTTTCGAATTTTTTGACATTTCCTACTTGTGAGAAATGAAGCAGCGTTCCGGGGACCAATCCTCGACGCCGAAAGTCTCCGATGTAACGGACTTGAAACCGTTCGTTGGGGACGTTCGCAGACATCGCCCCTGTTACATACCTGGTATCTTGATGAAGGCAGACTCTACAAACGAACCTAAAACTGCTGTATCGATGCTGTGTTGTACACCACAACAGAAGACCGCAAGCGCCCGGGTGCCACCTCGAGCAGCGCGGAATGTGTTTGTTTGTCTTTGTTTGCTGATGGTGGGGCGAAACCTGTTCGAGGGCAGGAGAGCAGAGAGGTTGCAAATTGTTGGGCCTGATGCCATGCCTGCCCCACAGGCGAGCAAGGTCCTTGTCACTCACGGCAGAGACGCGGAGTAGTGCTGCGACAAGGTGTTTGTGCGTGTGGCCCATTTTGTGCCTGCCTGCCTGTCCTGCAGCACAGCTGCAGCAGTGTTCCACGATACGAGGACTTGGTGCGTGAAAGTAGTTTTAAGCAGGGTGAGGATGCTGGGGGAGTTCTCTCTCTCTCTCTCTCTCTCTCTCTCTCTCTCTCTCCCCTCGCTGCATGCACGCAACTGCCGGTCCATGTGTCAAAAAAAAAACTACGAGGTACCATACGAGTCAAGATAGGGCAGTGTGCTGGTGCTGGTTCTCAACGTGTTCTTGGAAGACATGCGCATGTGCGCGTAGAGAGGGGTGAATCCTGAATACAGCAGTAGTAGATCGGGAAGGCGCCGGGAGTATTATGTGTGCAGTTGCGGTGGGAAGTCTAAGGCTCGATTCACACGTGGAAAACGCTGGTATCCAGCGAGTGCACGAGGATGCGGTATTTAGGTTATTTTAATGATGTTTGTCCTGCCTTGGCTCACTCCTCAATATCATTCGACAAGCGTGTCCTTCCCGAGCTTGCTCAATTTTCGCCAACTACTCCGCAACAAGAACACTGCTGTCATGCCCGCAGCCCCTCTCCACGCGGTGCCTGCGTTTGAGATTAAATTCCGTGAAATGAACCCCCCGTCGGTCACTCCGTTTTCGCCCCCTACGAACAAAACAGCACGCCCTGGGAGGGACCGTCCAAAAGAACTGCCCCGAATTCGGAGGCCCGCACTTGGGATTGAAGCCGGTTTCGAGGGCACCCCCCCGCGTGGCGGCGGTAGCGCCGGCAGCGGCAGCGGCAGCAGCGGCAGCGCCGGCAGCGGCAGCGGCAGCGCCGGCGCCGCCGGCGTTTGATCATACTGCTGTCAAGGCAACCAGTGGCGCCGCCGGAGAGCAAGGAGGATCGCCGCCCCCGCCGCCACCGTACAACGGTACCGCTCAACGGTGGGGTTCGAGCGAGACCCGGCCTGCGGTAGCGGCGGCGACGTCGCCGCCGCCCGCCTACCGCGACGTCCTCTCCTCCAGGTTTACGGAGACGGTACAGGTTACCGACAGTAGCGGCGGCGGGTCGGTAAGCCCTCGCAATGGCGGCGGCGGCGGCGGCGGCAGCCGCTCCGGGCCAGCTGCGAACGGTTCTTGTCGGCAAACCTCCGGCTCCAAGTCACCCCCTCACCGGCCCGCGCCGCCGTATGGCGGTGCCGCCACTGGCAACGGGCAGCAGCACTCGGCTCGCCCCCAATCCCCGGCGCGGTCTTACAAGAAAACCTCGTCACCATCAAATGGAGTTCGTCAGCAGGTGTCCGGGGCGCCAAGGGCCGTGTCGCCTTCCGAGCCCCCCCCTCCGTTGTCGGCGGCGACGGCGAACGGCGACGGCGACGGCGACGGCGACGGCGACGGCGACGACGACGTCTCCCCGCCGGTCGCCCACGGGTGGCCGGGGCGGCGGCTACGGGCTGGACGCGGAGCTGGCGGCCAGGCGGGAGGCAAACTACGACTACGACGCGGAGGCGGAGGCGCAGGAGTGGATTCGAGGACGTGACGGGGGAACGCTTCGCGGAAGGGTTCGGGGAGGAGCTGAAGGACGGGAGGAAAGCTGTGCCTGCTAATCAACCAGATCAAGCCGGGAGCCGTGCGGAGAGTGAACGACTCAAGGATGCCCTTCCAACCCGGTGCTGGGGGGGGGGTGGGGGGGGAGGAAAGAGGAGCGCTGACATGTCCGAGTTTTGTGTATCACAGAAGTTCATTGCGCCGAGAGTGTCGCGTCGAGTGAATTCCACCCCCGCAAAGGCGTGAGGCCTTCTGTTGCCGATACCGCCGTATGTGATGGAAAATAAAAGGCGCGTATGCATACCTCTCTCGTGCCAGGGACAGACAAGCACCTTCATTCGTCCAATTAGTCTCACCGACTGCTGTTGTTGCCCGTGTTCCGCGTCGCTATTGCCGCTCTGCCTTTCGTTCCTGCACTGCTGCTGCTGCTGCTGCTGCTGCTGCTGTCGTGTGGTTTATTCACTTCGTCCAGATGGAGAACGTGTCCAACTTCTTGAAAGCTTGCAGGGCCGTCGGCGTAGCGGAGCACTCTCTGTTCGAAACCGTCGACCTCTACGAAGGCAAAGATCTCGGGCTCGTCGTCCGATGCCTGGTGAGGTCCTGCCGTGGACGAACCGACAGCATGCTGACAATTGAGCGTGATGTTGTGCATTTTTTTTTGCTGTTTCTGTGCACCTTCGTTGCTGGCACGTACATACGGTTTGGCGTGTGAGCGTTATAGATGTGTCGACCACGTCTTGGGGATTTTCGCAAGAGTCGTTTTGTATGCCGGAAGCGCTGTTCTCTCGCGTGTGCTGGTGTTTGCGGCACGATTGTACACACCGGAACAATAAATCCGGGTCTCCAGTCGATACCTTTTCGGGAAGTATCGTAGACACTCGTCAACTTGGTTCTAGTCATAGTCTTGACGCTGTCTAATCTCTACCCTCTCTTCCCCGCCTCCCGGTGTTGATGTGCAATAAGAAAGGTCTGTTCATCAGAGTGCCATCACGTTTAGAATAAGAGAACGTGAATTTGAGCACAGATAACATCGCCAATGCCGAAACATTCCCCCCTGGTTTCCCTCTCTGCCCCTCTGTCTCTGCCACTGCTTATCTCCCTGCCTCCCTCCCTGCCTCCCCGCCCTCCCTGCTTCTCTCCCTCCCCCCTTCTCTACCCCCCCCCCTCCCTCTCGTGCAACACCGCTTCCGCTTCCACTATAGCACGCTCTGGGGCAAACGGTTCAGAACAGCTGTCCGGAGTACAATGGGCCTCGCCTTGGCATCAAGCAGACGGAGGCCAACAAGCGCGAGTGGACCGAGGAGCAGCAGCAACAGCAGGTACGGTACTCTTTTCTCTTGGCTTCCGCAGGCGTCGCCTATAATAGCCGCTCTCGCTGCCTCTGCACTCGCAATCGAAGTTGTAGCCCCCCACCCCCTCTGCTCCGAGAGATCGCCATCGTTGTTTGCTTCCGTGCCCGTACCACGCCATGATGATGAATGGATAGCAGTGGCGGATAATGGGTTACCAATTCAGCCACTGAAGCTGACTGTTGCCACACGCCAGTTGGTTGCACTTTCTCGATTCCGGGCTTGTGTTTTTGTGTGCCTGTGCGCGCGATACCTAGTTAGCGCGTGTGCGTGTACGCCAAACGCGGTCCGCCCCAGCTGCACAACTACACGACAGTGAATACACCACCGGCCCCTTCCTTTTCCCTATGGACCCGCTCCATCGCCTATGCTGCCGCATCGCGCCGGTTTGCGTGAATGCACCGCACCGCCTTGCGCGGCATGTCCCATCGATCTTCCCCAAAAATACAAACAGCTGCGGAACAGCTCGGGGGCCATGTCCAACCTGCTTGCGGGGTCGAGCAAGACCATGGAGCGCGCGACGGTTATCAAGACGGGGGCGACCTTCGGGGCGGCGCAGTCGGGGACCGGGGACCGTGCGGGGACCAGCGGCTGGACCATGGGCAGTGCAAACACGATGGACCGTTCCCACATCGCGAAGAGCGGCCCGACCTTCGGCGCGGAGTACGCGGGGGCCTCGGGGGACAAGACGGGCGCATCGTCGCGGTTCACCGCCGGGCACCGCTACTAAACGGTCCGTTCCATTGTGGAAGGCGGTGCACCACCGCCGTTTACCGCTTCTCATCGGTTCGTCAATTGTGGAAAGCGGTTTACCACCGCCGGTCATCGCTGCTAAACGATTCGTTTTGTTGTGCAAGGCGGTTTGCGCCGCTTGTAAAACGTTTTTTTTTAGTTGTGGAAGGCGGTTTACGACCGCCGGCACGACTGCTACGCGTTTCGTCAATTTGCGGAAGGCGTTTTTGCCGCCGCCGGGCACCGCTTCTGAACGTCTTGATAATTGTGGAGGGAAGGGAATTTTCTCACGGCGCAGCCTCTCTGCTTGTCTCGTGTGTTGCTGCTGCAGTTGCGGTACCGGCCGCCGGCCCCACCGTCGACCATGGCACGGATAATAATCAAACACCTTAGGGCTGTTGTTTTTGTTCCTGCTAGCACTGCGGTTGTGGACCGGTGGTGTGCGGGTGAGCCGTCAGCAGGACGTCGCCGGGGGAGTAGGGCGGGGGGGCGAAGGGGTTTAGAAGCACTCCGATTGTGTGTTGACGTGGCCGCGATGCGATGAGCCTGATGTTTTGGCTACTACGGCTTTGCTTTGGGGTGCGCGCAGGCAAGCAAGGAGGGTCTTGACCTCCTCTCCCCCCCTTTGCTCCGACCAGCGCGTGTTGTTTATTTTAGCATGTATGTATGTGGTAGTTTCGTCGTAAGCTCTTTGGGCTGTTCTGCTACTGTTATTTGTCATTGTCGTAGTTGTTATTCTCTTAAACAATAAGTCGTACGCGTTGTGACCTCTTTCCAACGCTGGGTTAGTTCCCATTCACCACTCGGGGTAGCCATTGATGTGTGTTTGTGACGTTGTATACGGTGATTTTCGCTTCTCGTTGTCCATGTTTCCCATGAGTGGTCGCAGCAGTTTTGTGCTTGTAGCGCCTCTGTCGGCCAGAATAAACATATCCATAGTTCGTAGTAGAAGTGATGTCTTCTTCACGCGTGCATGTTCCTGTACCAGCAGCGATTTTCCAGAACAGCGCCGGGGTTGTGCGGGGGGAGGAGAAACAAACGTGCTTGCTGCATGCTTGTAACGCAGATGCACTGCTTTTAACGCAGATAGATGCACCTCACACGTGGGCATAATTAGGTTTTTGTTAAAGCCCAATGGTCTCTCCCCCAGTGGAGGAGGAAGGGGTGTTCAGCGGCCCCAAGCGTTCCTTTGGCTTGTAGCGGAACGCGCCCCTTCCGTTGTAGCAACCGCTATGGAAAATCGAAATTATTGAGAGGCACACAGGGGGGGGGGGGGTGTACTCATAGTCGTGCATGCCGTAGTCGTTAGACCATTGACCTCGCATCCCTACAAAGCCGGGACGGAGCACGCCGGGTTCTCACCGGACCAGGCCCTGGGGGGCGGGGGTATCCAGCGCCATCGGTGAACGGTATTTTTATTTTTTCTATAGTTTCCCCTGCCTTGTTTCTATGCTGGCTTTGGGTGTTTGAAAAGGAACGTGCGGTTTTGTAGTGTAGTTAAGTGCTGGACGAAAATACATTTTGAGACATGAAACGGGACTCTCCCGAGTTCGATAGTCCCGATGAGTACACGTTGCACGAATCGAGGCATCAAATAATCAGGTCGAGATCGTTGACCACCATCGATCTGGAGCATGACCCCAACACCTGCATCTCCTGCCAACAACAAGACAACAACTTCTCACGAGCATGGCCAACATGTATGTAGCGGAGAACACAAGCCCACCACCATGTTGACGTGCCAGGAGAGCAGGCCTCCCGTCATTTTTTCCTCACACAAGATACTCTCTCTCTTCAGCGCAGCAACGCACCAAGCGAATGTTGCACCTGGAGGTGCGTGCCCTCCTTGGCGCCCAAACAAAACACACTCAAGAACAGGAGTGAACCCCCCGCAAACTTTGCGTGTACAACGCGAGAAGGACACGAGATGAGGGCAATCCCACCCCACCTGGCCCGAGCCAGAGTCAGGTCCCGGTGTAGATGATCTATCGTCTTTTGTCCGTCTCTTGCCGGCTGGTGCGTTTGATAAGCATCACTAACGACCGTGCAGCGGCAGCGGTATGTAGTACTTATGATATATATCCCGTTAGCGGGGCATGGGGCCGTGCGAATTTCCCCTCGAAGATTTTGGCGAACGCTCGCCCGCTGACCACAACAAACAGAGCGTGCCCTCGGTACACGTACATCCACGGTCGGACACATATTCATTGCAGGCCGCTTGTCAAAGTAAATGCGAAACAATCGTCCATTTTTCGTACTGCGTATGCATAGCGTCTAAGAGCATGGGCAAGAAGAGCCTACGTACGACCCAAATTTTACGAAGCTCGCCCAAATGTAATATTTACACGATTCGTACCACCACTCATATGCTTCGTGCGGCCGAACGTCACACACACCGCCGGCCCTCTATTATGCTACAACAACACATGCTCAACAACGAACGACACGTCGCCGTAGCCGCCGGCGGCACCTTCCTCGTGGTTCGGCACCGGCCGCGGCGGCGGCGGCGGCGGCGGCGGCGGTGGCGACGCGTCCAAGAAAATATCGTCCGACAGCTCCGGGTTGTTGAGCACGTGCAAGGCGGCGATCACCGTCGTGAGCACGTAGCCCTCCTTCCCCATCACCCACGACTCGTCGCGCATGAACTGCTCCACGAAAGCCACCTCGGCGTGTGGCCGGGGCAAGGCCGCCGCCTGCGCGTCATCATCCCCGCCGCCGCCGCCGGCGACAACCGCCGCCGTCGTTGCGGCCGCCAGGTGCCGGCACACGGAGAAGATCAACGCGTCAGTCGTTCGCTGCTCCGCGGGGAGGGCGTCGCTAACCCTCTCCGCCGCCCGCACGAGAAACCCGAGCTTGTCGCGGCCCGTGCGCGCGGAGCCGGCTGCTCGCAGCGCGGACACCACCTCCGGCCGGCAAGCCGACAGCAGAGGCGGCCTGCCGGCCGCCGCCCTCGAGCGCTCCTCCCTCTGGACGCGCCGGGCGAGGGACGCGTCGCCGTCGCGGGCCGCCCCCGAGGAGGCGATGCGGCCGAAGACCGGCCCGTACGTCTCCGAGAAGACCCGCTGGTCGATGCAGTTGACCGCCTGGATCTGCGCCTCGTGGGACGAGGTGAGCTGGGGGCACCACGCCAGCACGGCCTGCGTGAGCTCGCGGAGTACGCCGTGGACGTCTCGCAGCGCGTCGTCGTCGCCGCGCGCATCTTCGTCCTCGCCTCCCGCCTCCGTGGAGGCGGCGGCGGCTGTCGCCCCAGCTCCAGCAGCGGGACAGCACCCGTTCTGCGGGCGGTCCAATCCGTTTCGATCTGCTCCCGCTCCTGACTCCGTCTTGTCAGGCTTCGTCCCGCTGTCCGCGCCCGTTGTTGCCGCTACGCCTCCGTCACCTACGGCGTTTTGCCGAGGGGGTGGTGGGGCGTTGGCAAGCACGCTGATCGGCGCATCCTCGGGGCTAGCAGAAAGCCCTCCCTCGTCCCGACACCAGCACACCGGGGCTTCGGCGGCGGCCCAGCCGTCCCCGAGCCCGCCTTCATCCTCCTCGACGTCTCCCACCAGCGCCCTCGTCGACCTACTACCACTACCACCACCGCCGTTCGCCGAGTGTCTGCCCGCCACTCTGCCGCCGCAGTTGCCGCACACGCCTCCTTCCAGCTGGACCCAGCTATCCATGCGGGACGAGTTGCTTCGCCACGAGTCTCTTGAAGCAACCGCAGCAGCAGAAGCAGCAGCGCCTACCGATGAGCGCCTGCCGGCCGTCACCGCTACCGCTGCCGTTGCCGGGGCCGAAGCCAACCCCGCCGCCTCCGACCTCACAGGTTTGCTCCACCGGTGCGCGCGCGTGGCGGTGGGCAACCGCCTGCCGCGCCTGTCGCCGCTTCTCTCGTCGTCATCATCCGCGCTGCTCCGGCCGTCCCCGTCATCGTCGTCGGAGCCGGGAGTATCGCTGCCCTCTCCCGCCACAATCTCCGCCTCCTCTACGAAGCTGAACGTCTTCTCCAGGCCGGGCGTGCTCGCGAAAAACCCGCCATCGTCGGTAGCGGCCGCTGCGGTGGCCCCCGCAGCCCCTGCGGCCGGGGGACCCCGTCGACTGCCGCTGCTTCGAGGGAAGAGCGCGACCATGTCGGTGTCGCTGGAGCGCCGCCTGATCGGGACCGGCCGGGTGCAACCGCCGCCGCCGCCGCCGCCGCCGCCGCCGCCGCCGCCGCCGCCGCTTCGCGACGAGTCGTGCCGGGAGCGGAACTCGGCGAGGAGGGCGGCGTGCAGGTGGAAGAGCATGGCGGTTTCATCGGCGAGGACCTTGCCCACGACGAACATCGCCATCTCCCCCGCGTTGCACTCCCCTTGCTCCAGGAGCTTCTCCTGTTCCGGGGCCAACTCCCTGCAAAATGGAACATGGGGGGGTCGAGGAGAAAAGAAGCGCGAGCGAAAATCAAATACACGGGGGTGGTTCGGCGCACACCCCAACACACTACACGACGGTCTTGCCGCGGACCCCGCGATATGAACCCCCACGATACCGAGCCTGGACTGTTCCTGTTATATTACTACTTTCCTTTTCTTGTACGGTATACTGCTGTTGCTTGATTCTCCATGTTGTCGCCATGCCGTATCTGGTCATGCCTTCCTTCGTAATTCTACACGGATCTCTTGATGTCAATTCCGATTGTTCAGACAGAGGTCTTAAATCGTGGGTAGGAGGCTAGAGCACCTCTTGATCTTACAGTGAGTCTTGCGGTCATTCACTTTGGCTTTGCGCACCGGCAGCCTCGTACTGCAATTCGCATCTCAACACTGTAGCAGGACTGCTGAGTGGAGCTCGATCTTAGCCGCTTGGAAAAGTGATACGCAGATTCAACGAAACACCATCATTATCATCAACAACAACAAAAACGACAACAGCAACAACAGCGACAGCGACCGCAACAACCAAAAAGTGTTGCCGGAAAGAGAAACGTACCAATTACAGTATCCTAAGCCCAGCTGCCAAAAAACAAGCGAAAAACAATTAACCCAGGCCGAAACTATGCAATGCTACGGTAGCTTTTTCAATCCAAACCATAAATCCATATTCAAAATCGTACCAGATCGTCGGCTGGTGCTCGCTCTCGACTTTTCCCGCGATACGCGCCCACAGGTCTCGAGGTTTGCGAGCGGCGGTTTCCTCAACCACCGCCGCCGCCGTCGACCCATCCGCGCCCTTCGGCAGCCTTATCCCCTCCGCTCCGGCCTCCCTGCGGCTCTTCTCGATACGCTGCCAAAGACCTTGCTGCACGCTCCTACCCGCCCCGAGGACAGCCCCGACTTGGAGGCCGAACACGGCGCCAACCGGGCCTCCAAACAAGGCACCGACGACGCCGCCGGCGACGCTCAGCTTGGTTACACCCCTGATCCCCATGCTAGCGGTGGTTGAAGAAGCAGAGGAATCGGCGGCGACAGCTAGGTCCGTAGCGGTGGTTGGCACGGCCCCGCTGGCTCCCTGGTTCCCCAGCGCCGACACGGTATCGCCAGCGTCGCCTGGTGCTGTTCGGGTCTCTGCAGCAGCATCTCCGGCAGGGACGACCACGACCGAACGTTCTTCTTGCTGCTGTTGCTCGCTCACCACTGGCGAGGTTGGTCGCTTCCGCTCTCCGAGCCCAAGAGGGCTCCAGGAAAACGACGACCCCAGGTCTTGCAACGCACAAGACGCGGCGGAGGAAGGTTGCTGCTGCTGCTGCTGCTGCTGTTGGCCTACAGCAGCCGAGTTTGAGTGGGCGCTCGTCCCGTCGACCGTCGCCCATTCATCGAGGTCGCCACCCGTATGGGCGGCTCCGCCACCGCCGGCGCCACCGCAGCTCGCGGGCGATCTTCCCCCCGGTGTTTCGGCGCCCTGCTCGCTGCCGGTGGCAGTCGATGCTGATGCCGATGGCGAGCCGGTCGCCGCTGGGGCGGGCGGAGGAGGAGGAGGAGGAAGCCCGAGCTCCGACCGACAGAAGGCGTCGAACACGTCCTTCGTCGGGCACCGGGGCAGCGACGCCGCCCCCGTGCACGAGCGGTGGACCGTCACCGAGCAGGTCAGGCAGGTGCACCCGCGCGTGAACGGCCCCCAGACGAGCTCGTGGCAGGCCGAGCACTTGGCCGGGAGGCGAAAGATGCTGGACTGGAAGCTGTGACCGTGGGACATGGCGGCGCACATGCCTCCCCCCTTTGGGCCGGCAGCGGCAGCACCGAAGCGTATCAAGAGAGCGAGGCGCTCGGACTCGCTGAGCCCCGCTAACGGATCTGATGGTACCACCGCCGTGCCGTTAGGTTTTGACGCCGTGGCGCCATTCTCTGGCTCCTGCTGCTGCTCCTGCTGCTTGCGTGAACGTATCATGGTCTGTAGGTTGAACAGGAGCAGCAGCTGCAGTTGTACAGCAGTCCGTACTCGAATACTTGCTGTCACCACTGCACGGAGAAGGCTACGCGGCAGCCAGTACGTAAAGACGAGGAGGTGCCGCCATCAAGAAACGTAAAGAAAAGAATTTGTGTCTCTTCGTCTCCTCTTCGCCCTGCTGTTGCTCGCCCTTCAGCCTTGTCTGCACAGGCAGGCGAAGTCGGGCACGTCGCTCGAGCGGAAGTCCCGCCGCAAGCGGCACCGCGGGTTTTGAATTTTATTCTGCCATATACCCTCACTAAAGAACCGATTCCCATCTGCTGTGAGGGTCCGACGCTAACGGATTTTTAAAATCAAACGCTCCGGATAACCTCGCTTGATCTCTGTCTCTCTCTCTGTTGGAGGCTCTGCGCCCACCACGTCCAAGATTTGGAAGAACAAGTAGCAACGCCATTGGCAGCCACCGGCCATGGATGAGGCTGAGGCGACATGGGAGCGATTCGTCTCTTGCAAGAGCTTGCTGACCCAGTTTCAAAACTTTCAAACTTCGCAGCAGGGTGGAGGCTTCGGGGGCATCTTGTCCTCCAGCTCTAGCAACGCCAACTCGGAGACGTCGACCTTGATACGCGAACTGACGGTCAGGCCCGTGTCGAAGCTTCTCTCGGACGAGGCTGTGCAAGGGTTGGCTAAACAGGATAGGCTCGTTGACTTCATCCAACTTGTTTTGAGGTCAAGGTCGAGAAACACGCCAGGCACGGCTGCTCGTGTTCAAGAGATCGCTGTTGTCGGGATCAAGGTGAGCATGCAGTCCACCACCGCAGTATGTGACGGCGCTGCGACAAGTTGCCTGTGGTAGTCACCCGTCGAGATGGCGCACCGTGAACCTCCACCACCATGCGCTATGTCGTATTTGTGCAGAGAGGACTTGAACCAAATGCAAGCGGTTGGTACACAGCAGTAGATGATCACACAGCTGCAGGCGATTGGGGGAGAGACGAATTCGCACGATCAACCGGTCTCACGCGCCCACCGAGTGGTCGAGTGGCCTATGGCCGCAAGGTGCTCAAAACAAGAGCAGGCAACCAGGCGTACGTCGCCATTGCAACTCACGAATAGTTGTCGTTATTCCTATCGTTTTACCCTTGTTGCAAACACCGTCGCGACAACTAGACTATTTGTGTTGTGGAATTCCGTCCCGTGCATGTTTCTGTGCATGCTTTCTTGCGATGGAGCATGAGTGTACATGATCATGAAGACCATTATCTCACGATGTCCTTTCCAATGGGCTAGTAGCTGTGGCAGCAGAGTCGGTGTGTTGGTAGTTGGTAATGGACATCCCCGTACTGCAGCTGCCACAACAACTGTCTCCCCCCATCGTTTCGCCGCAAGATTCATATGTTGACCCAATTTGGTCGCCGCCACCGCCACCAAATTCTACGCTTGTCACGTAGAGAACGCTATTAGCGTGCAACACAACAACTACCTGTGGCTCACACACGCATATAGCTCGAGGTAATTTTACGATACCGACACCTTTCAAACAGCTCTAGCCTAGCTTCGAGTCAACACCATGGTACAATAACGTGTCGCAAAACCCGTTGTGAGCCTCCGTTTTCACTTTGCACCCCTTCCCCTGCCCCCCCCCTCTCCCTCTTCTTGGCATCCAGGCCATACACTCCATGGTGTAAGCGTTTTGCGAAACCCGTAAGAGCCTCCCTTTCCACTTTTCACCCCTTCCCCTTCCCTCCTCCCCCGCATCGCAGGCCATACATTCCGGCCTGGTGGTGGACAAGCCGGCGCAAGAGCTCCAGAACGTCCTCCTCGCCGAGCTGGGCGACATCAGCCCCGACCACGCCCCCGCCATCGTCAACGCAGTCCTCGCGCCGCTGCTGGAAGCCTCCAAGTGCCAGGGCCGGCTCACCGTCGGCCACCAGCGCCAGTCGTCCGAGAGGGAGATGAGCGAGGAGGCCGCGGCGAGCTTTCTCGTCGTCCTTGACATCCTCCCTAAGGTGTGTAGGTTTTCCTGCCTTCCTTCCGTGTCTCTACCTACTTTGTGCGGTGAAACGTACCATCCCTTTGAGTAGCCCGTAGGAATGGGCGCGCGGGGGGGGTAGGTCCTGATCCCTTTGAGCAGCCCGTAAGAATGGGCGCGGTAGGGGGGTTAGGTCCTCCAGGTGTAGTTGGCAGGAAAGGAGATGTTTGTGTCGCTCTAAGCGGAGCTGTTAAAATATCGGTATCTCAACTGTGCGTATTGCGAAAGGGGGCAGTGGGTAGCTGGTGCTTCGTGAGGCCATCAACACTGCATCTTGTAGTCTAGCTTCTGAACCCTGGAGCTCCATGTGCTGCGCGCATACACAACCCGTTGCCCCGGGTTTCACAGAACTATCTTCCATGGCAAAAACTCGTGTTTTTTGTTTTTTATCTCTCGACGCCGTTTCATCTCAAAACTCGGGTGTATGTACCAGGTGCTCAGCGTCACCGCGGGGGTGCCGACCCTATCTGAGGAAGACCCCGTACCCGAAGACGTGCGGGGGCTCTCGGGCGCGCAGTACAAGGATAGGGTGGTGTCTTGCCTGTTCCGCGCCCGATGGCCAGGCGCGGTATCTGTGGGCATGTGCCAAACGCTGAGGGATCTGGATCTCGGGGAGAGGCATCTGTCGGTGGCGGTGTCTCGGGTGCTGCGGCACCTGCGCAAGAACGCCAAGCTTCACGACCTCCCGGCGCTGACGTATCAGCTGCTGCTGCTGGCTGGCAGGTAAAAATAGCGTGTTCTGCTGGAGTTTGATGTTTTCCCGTATGGTGCAATATGCACTCCAGAATGATTGTTTGCGTATGTGTACCCTTGTTGCTTATGCTTCATTTTCTCGGTCGCGCATCTGACCCCTGCTTGCCCTGGAGCGTATCCTCCTGCTCGCGTTCTGCATCCCGCCCGCACGTCATAAAACGAGCTCGCGGGCATGGGACTCTCCCAGAACATCGTCCAGCTACGTACCACACCGTCGCACGGGACGATTCGCTCATGGTGACAAGTGCCCGTCCTCCCCCCCACGCACCTCGCCCAATTATTTTGTGTCGCATGTTGCTTGCGCGGCATCCGAAATGTGGTTGTGCAGGGGATGCAAGGAGGCCGCTCTCGAGGGCGTGATTCAAGTGTTTAACCGGCTGGACGCGGAAGCAGCTGACCGGGAGGACGCCGCCGCCGGAGCGGCGGGCGGCATCCCAATCAGGCCAATAAGCGGCGGCCGTGGCGGCGGCGGTGGTGGCTCCATCGGCCGCGGGGGAGGCGGGGGGCTCGGGACCAACAGCACCGAGGAGCTCCGTTTCGTCGAGGGCACCATCCTCCTGCACTTCAACTTCGCGATGAAGCAGGACCACAGCCTTGCGAGCTGCGTGCTCAAAGGTTTCCAGAGGAGGGCGGCCGCGGCGGAGGTCGGTCGCGCCTTCACTCCGTTCCGCCTCGCGCTCCTGCTCTCCCTCGCTCGCATCCAGCGGTTCCAGCAGCCGGTCCTGGACCTGGTCGAGGAGATCGTGTCCGACTGCCTGGTGTACGACCACCTCAGGGAGGGCTCCGCGTGGCTGGAGAGCGAGGAAGAGGCGGCGCGGGGGGGGCGGCGGTGGCAGCGCTACGGCGGCGGCGGTGGCGGCGGCGGCGGGGGGGGTAGAGCGGAAGGAAGAGACGGCGGCGGTGGCGGCGCAAGCGACGGGGAAGACGGTGTTAGCGGCGGCGGCGGCGGCGGCGGCGGGTCGTCCTCCTCGGCCAAGGCGGTCGAGAGGGTGCTCTTGACGGTGGTCGCTTTCAGCAGGGGCTGGGACCACTTGGTCGACTCTCTTCTGAGGCTTGGGCTCAGGCTGCTCGACCGCGGCGGCGGAGGGTCGTCCTCCCCTGGAGCGGTCGGCGCGTCCAGGGGTATGCTGGAGAAGCTCCAGGGGGCGCAGAGCCACCGGGCCGCCCTGCGGGCTTCGTACCTCGGACGCGTGGTGCTGATGGAAACATTCAAGACCCACGAGGTGAGGTTGCGTCGTCCCCTCAGACTGCTTCGTTTCCAGCCACTTTCACGCACCTAGAATGTAGGTGTGTTGTCGGTTGACGCCTGTTCGGAGTTCCTTTTTGTACTGAACACGCCAAGTCAAGTCTAGCGTGGGATATTCTGTCCGCTTTCTGTGTGTTGTGCGGGAAGGTTGTCCGTGAAGCTTGGGTCCAGTCTGCTGTCGGTCGCCTTGGTTGTTTCGCGTTATTTTCCAATAAAGTTCATTCGATGTGTTGGGGGAGTCGCTGCAACTCATTGCGATGAAAATGTTGCGCACGGAAAGGAGATTCTCTTGCCCCTTTTGTTGGGCACAATCCGAAAGCGAATTGGGTAACATTTTCAGCAGCCACCCCTCTGTGCCCGGCGGTAGCGTCAAGCTGTCAGTTGGTTTTGGATTGTGGGATATATCGTATTCGACTCTGTCATCGATACAGGATAAAATCGGTCACAACACCTCTTCCGTCCTCCTCTGTCACATTCAAACATAACAGCGGTTGCAGTTCTGTTTATCCTTCTGTTTCTTGGACGCGTTAGCTGTCATCCGCAACATTTACTACTAGAGTAAAACAACGCATCATTAGTAACGACAACAACGCAACTCGAAGCAGGTGGTTCGCGACCAGGTGCTGAGCGCGGTGCTGGAGCAAGTGACGGCCCGCTCGCAGGGGGTCCTGGGCTACGTCAAACTCCTGGGCCTGCTGGTCCAGCGCTACCCGAACCTCCTCCTCGGGAAGGCGGCGGCCGTGCAGGACGTGTTCGGGTACATCTCGGTGCTCCCGCCCACGGTCGCCGAGCGCTTTCTCCAGGCCGTCTCGCCCCTGATGCGGCTGCGCCCTGGTCTTCAGGTACGGCGTGCTGCTGTACACCACAATCAGAGGTGGACCTGACCTACAGGGCAACAACGTCTCTCGTGTTTCTCTGGTTGTATTGTTTGTTGTCTATGTTTCCCTTCTTGTGTGCGTAAGAGCCCCGTTTTATCGTGTTGCAGCATACACAGGCCGAGGAGAGCGTCGTCTCGCGCATTGTCGTGATGGCCTGTCACGTCGATGACTAAGGGCTTCCAAGAGTGGGGCGTTCGCCGCCACGCGACTCGTAGAGAAGCTGGTCTCGATCCACTCCTCCTCTACCTTGTGCAAACAAGAGGGGGGGCATTCGTCAACACGTGACTCCTACAAAAAACTGGTCTCGATCCACTCCTCCCCTACACACGTTGTACAAGCAAACGGGGGGCATTCGTTACCACACAGGAGAGCGCTCGTCTCGATCCACGCCTCTACATCGGTTGTATGCTACAACCAACAGGCAGGGGGGGTTTGGTCAGTCACCACGCCGAGAAGCTCGTCTCGATCCACGCGTCTATACACGACGCTACTGTATGCTTGTACAAACCCGCAGGACTCGGTGGTCCTTCCTCTGCGAAAGGCCCTCTTCAGCCGCGAGGAACGCGCCCGCCTAGTCGCCGTCGGGGGCCTCGTGCTGCTCTTGAAGGATCAGAGCCGAAACGCGGCCGCCGTTGCGGGTCGCGGAGGTTTGAGCGGGGGTTCGAACGGGGGCACGCAGATGAGCCAGACGAGCCAGATGAGCGAGGGGCAGCAGATGGCAATGGTTCTGCCGTTCCCACTGGCGGCGGGCGGCGGCAGCGGCGGCGGTGGCGGCTCCGCGTTGTCTCTCGCCGAAGGCTTCGGTCTCCTGAGGAGGTGTCTGACCCAGCAGATGGTGGTGCGCGCCAAGCTCTACGACGGGCTGTTGTCCTGCTTTGTGCAAGGGTGGGTTCAGATCGTGGGTCTCCGGGCGTGGGGGGGGGGGGGGGGGGGGGTTCTCAAGGGCGGGCCTGCCGGAATCCTTAAAAGTTAAACCTTTGGGGTCCCCTCCCCAAAAAACCGGGGCGGGTTCCGCGGGTTTTTTACCGG